ACCTGTCACAGCCCCCCCCGCCGGAGTACCTCCTGATACTCTGACATATCCGACCCTGAGTCCCAAAGGTGCCGGATTATTGTAAGTCTACTGTATCTGTCTGGAGATGAGATTAATTCCTCTGGCCTTATTTGGTAATTGGCTTGTGGGATAAATGTCAGACAAAAAAAACTCTACCCATGGACACTAAGGCAGGGAGAACCTGTCACAGCCCCCCCCGCCGGAGTACCTCCTGATACTCTGACATATCCGACCCTGAGTCCCAAAGGTGCCGGATTATTGTAAGTCTACTGTATCTGTCTGGAGATGAGATTAATTCCTCTGGCCTTATTTGGTAATTGGCTTGTGGGATAAATGTCAGACAAAAAAAACTCTACCCATGGACACTAAGGCAGGGAGACATACATTAGAAATGCATTGTCTTGCTAAAATGTAAATCATGGGAACCAGAGACCTGCTGTCCCTGCTGACTTCATCTGAAGTTGTGGGTGCTCAGCCCTTCTGAAAATTTCATCCTGTAAAATGTAGCACAAATTGTACATATTGGAAATAAGGGGTTACTTTTGAGGGCTCATGTACACAGTGTGGTGTGCATCATATCTGAAGGGACAATGAGGCCTTTCCTGTTTCTTGGCAGTATTTCTCTGCCTGTGCTTTCAAACACTTTTCCTTGTTAATGATTTACTGGGGCATGTCATGGTTTACAATTCATGCCATTCTTATTCTCAAAGAATTTGTACGATTGCCTGTTTTTGTTGGTATTGACTACTTGAACTCTAATATTTTATTTCTTTTAATTTTACAGTTATACACTGAAAATTAACTATTGATTTCATTATCTTTTAAAATAGGGTTCCCCAGAACTTGTTACTGCAACTGAGTGCGTGCACTACTTTGAATGGAGGACTTTCATTGCTTGCAAGAAAGAGTCATTTAAAGCCAAGAAAGAGGTAATATTGAAAGAGCATGCATTCCAGTTTTGGACTGCTTCAGATGGAGGGAATGGAATAGTAGGTCACATTACTCTTAGCTTTTTACAGCATACATTCAATTAGAAAACCATGATTCAGTCTTAATATAGAATACAACTTTGGCACAAATAGCAATTTAAACTTCACAGAAGCTTGGTTTATATTTTTGGACTGAAAACCAACCTTTCAACATTTTTGAATATCCCATTAGAACAAATTCTTTGTTACTACCTTAAGCAGCAAATGAAGATGAAAATTTGAAGTAACTCTTCAGCACGTGTGCTTGTGACTTTTTGTTTTTGGCACCTCTGTACCATAAAACTAGTGTGAGGCATTTTCCCCATTTGTTGCTTGGGCAGTGTTTTGCCTTCTGTGGGGAGCCCATTGTGGTGTATTTTTTTTTTAATGGAATTTTTTCTTTTGGCAAACATTTCTACTGCTAGATTTTTTTTTAATTTAATTTTTTTTAAATAAATCAGTTGTCTTTGGAAAATATTTCATGTCATCTGATGTTTCTTGTGGTATAAGGATTGCATATGGCATTAACTATCACATTTGACCTTCTAGGTACCATGTTATGTTTTTGATGAGGATTTGAAGAAACATGACTTGAATCCATTGATCAAGATTTCAGGAGGCTACTTGGTGGATGACTCAGATGAAGATTCTTTATATATAAACATCTGTAGAGACATAGGTCTGAACCTCTGTGAACACCATATGTGTCTAAGTTTTGTGACTAACAACTCTTACTAATGCTGCTAGTAAAGGGTGTCTGGCTTTAGGATAGTAATAGATATGTAGCCGTGTTAGTCTAGTCTAGCTGAAACAAAACAGGACTATGTAGCACTTTAAAGACTAACAAGATGGTTTATTAGGTGATAAGCTTTTGTGGACCAGACCCACTTCCTCCGATCAAATAGTGGAAGAAAATTGGCACGACCATATATGCCAAAGGATACAATCAAAAAAATTAACACACATGAAAAGGACAAATCAAATTTCAGAACAGAAGGGGGAGTATGTAACGCTGTTGTTTCAAGACAGGTTTGATTTGAAATATTACTTGAGGTTAGCCTTCCCTAGATAGGTCTTCCTGAACTGTTGAACTATTTGACCTTTGACCTCATCCTTTTGAATAGCAAAGGGTATGTCTTAAAATCGTTCAGTCCAGTCTGTAGCTCCTGCGCAGAGACTGGCAACAAAGGCATTGGCTGTGATTGGCTTCTTCTTGCTGTCATCTGTCTAGTGAGAGCTGGATGAAGCTCACCAATTTGTATTTAGCTTTTGCTCTGCAAAAAGAGTGCTAAAGCTCTATGAAGGTTCCAATTCAGCTAAGAACTTAAAATTAAGTATAGTCTTGACTCTTGAGGATGAGTAGTCTTAATAAAATAATGTTCCTAAAGTTTAAATATTTAAGTCTTGGCTAGTTTGAAATTTATTTTGGCCAGTTGTGTGGAGAGTGGATGCAATATAAGCAGTTGTAACACAGAGCAATTTCTTCAGTCTGAATTTCATACATATTAGGTAACTTTAACAACAAATGAAATTTTTTTACACTGCGCTGCTGTTGCATTTTTAATCCAGTATATTCACTGGTCTGTCTTGTTTGTACAAAGCATGTGTAAACTTTACCCACAGAAGAAACTAAGTCTGATTGTTTCAAATCCTATTGGTCTGGAAGGTAGAGTTGAAAATTTGTATTTGTATTTAATATCAGTAGCACATCCTAACAAAATGGTCTGCAGGCTTATATAAAATATTGCCAGCCAAGAAGCTCAGGAGTAAAAGAGTGCTTATTATCATGGTATCTGAGTGGTCCTCTTTAGAACAGTGTTTCTCAGTGACCAGTCTGTGGACCCATGCCAGTCCTGGAGATTTCCTTGACAGGTTAGGAAGGCAGCAACATGGTCCCTGATATCTAATTTTTTTTTTTTTTTTTTTTTTTTTTTTTTTTTTTTGAAATACTGAACCAGAACCTTCAGTTGAGAGTAATGCTGGCAGATTGTCAAATTTCCCATTTATTTTTTGGCATTTTATTTAATAATTTTTTTATGTATTTGTTGTTTTATTTTTTAAATTATTTTTCTCAAGCATTACATAGAAAACCCCAAGTTTACAAATATTTGAAGACCTAATTGGACATGTCCAATTATGATATGGAATTTTGGCTCTTCCTAGTATGTGTGAACTACTCAGTTATCGGTATTCATCTTTTACAACAGGGCTAAACATTTTATTTATTGTCCAATTATGTCTGCAAATATTTGTAAACTTGAGGTTTTCTATGTAATGCTTGAGAATTGTATTCCAGTTTTCCATCAGCAGAGCTCGCCGAACCGCGGTGAGCCCTGCTCGCCAGCCCCGCTGTCCGGCGATCTGCGCATGCGCAGATCGCCCGAACCCGGCTCTTCCAGGTTGCAGTCTACTCACCACAGGCGAGTAGATTACATTATTTGTCGAGCCCTGTCCATCAGTATGCAAATATTTTTATGTATGGAAGTTTGATTAGTTATACTTGTAACTATAGTAGTTGAATCACTTTTAGCGTGATAGTATTGGCTGAACTACAATTAGTATTCTAACTTGCTTTGTATTTAGTATTCTTTCTTGCTTTGAAGCAACCCGTAAGACAGATTAAATAAAAATACTGGCGTGGTCCTGCCTTGATGATCTCTCAAGGTCCCTTCCGGTTCTAGTATTCTATCATTCTGTGATTAAAAATTAGATTTTCTTCATCTAGAATACTGCTCTCTGGGGAATGGAAAAAAGCTGTTGCAATAAAAATTGAAAGTTAATAGTTTAAAAGTTTTATCTAGTTAAGTGAAAACATCTTTTCAGCCAGAAATAATTGGAGGAGTGCATTTTATCTCATTCATGGCATCAAATGCTTCAGCAAACTTTTTTCTAATTTTGAGGTTGCTTTTTTTTAAAAAAAAAAAAAAAAAAAAAAGCAGCCATTTAAGCTCAAACTGCACTTTTGAAAACTTTAGTCCAAAATTTTTTTTAAATGCCCCAAACTTAATAGCTGCAAAGGGGGAGCTAGAATGAAAACTGTTTCAGTTTAATACAGCTAAATTGTACCTAAACTGTCCCTAGATACTTTTTCTTAGTGCTGCAACACAAATTTCATTTGGGTTATATCTGGTATATTTTTTTTTTAAACAGGAAGCTCCAATAGTGAAACCAGAAACTGTCCTGCGGAGAGTGCTGCATGCTTGTTACGTGGAGGCCATGCTTTTGATGTTGGCCGTCCTCAAGAACAGCTGCAACTGCATGATAAAGACAGGTACTTTTGGTGGCATTTAAGTATCAGAAAATATTGTATGTATATTTGTAAGGGCTCCGTTTTGTATTTCTGGACAAAACTATTCATTGTTTGGCTGATAGATACACCTGCATTCCATTGGATCTATTTCCAGTTTTCTTTCTGTTATTAAATTTTGAAAGTGGCATCTCTTTTGTACACAGACAGGAGGAGACTAGGTTTTACTCTGTTCTTGTTGCCATAATGTAAAGGTTTTAATCCTTTTTTTTAAAAAAAACCCATGACACCATTTTTATATGTGAAAAGCTCTAGAGGATGAGGCAACTACTTAGCTTAAAAAAAAAATAAAAAATTAAGCTTAAAATTATTGGTGTCACTCTGGCATGGAATGTAAGGATATTAAGAAGCGGGTAACTGACTAATTGTGTAGTCGATACAATTTGTGTCGACTCTACCATTAGTCAATAAGGGGAGGCATGGGCCGGAGCTACTCCTGCTGCACCTCTGTATTTTAAAAGTAATAAGAGCCGGGCTGCCTATGTACCCAGCTCCTCCTACATATAAAATGCAGAGCTGCAGCTGGGATAGGTCCAGGACCCAGACCACTGTGTCTCTGCCTCTCCTGCCCTCCCACCCCTGCACCGCAGAGCTGGTGCTGTGTGGAACTGCTTCTCCCTCCCGCTTTGATGCCTCTATCAGAGGCAGCGGGTGCAGGGGGAGGGGAGGATGCGAGTAGTTATATAGTGACTCAATTACCCAGTAAGCCTAGGCTTATCGGGTGCTTGACTAGTTTACATCCCTAATGGGATGGTCTACTGCCACAAATAAAGAACTCAGTTCTAATTCCAGCTGTGTTCCAGTGAGCTGCTGGATGCCCCACAGAAAATCATTTGGCCTCTGTCTCACTTCAGGGATCTGTGTTTAAAAACAAAACAAACCAAAAAAAACCTTACATGGATATTACAGTAAAACTCTGATGGTCTGGCACTCCTGATGGTCCGGCACCATCAGGAACCTGGAAGTGCTCCGGACAGCCGGACCATTGGAGCTGATCTTCCCCCAGCTTCCCCGATTCAGCTGCTGCTAAAACTGACCAGCAGCTGAATCGGGGAAGCCGGGGGCAGAACAGCTGGAGTGCTGCCGGGTAGGTCCTGTAGCGCTGCCCCTTGGAGCTGCGGGACCAACCCGGCAGCACCCCAGCTGTCCCCGATTCAGCCGCTGCTGATATCGATCAGTGGCTGACTCCCGGAAGCCCAAGGCCGAACAGATCTAACCCGGGCCTCAAGGCA